GGGCATGAGGACAACTCTTCGGCATAGTTTTAGCTTCTTGGAGATGATTCCAACTTAACTATTTTGGCCTTTTAAACAATTTTCTCTGAAAATTAATTGTGGCTCTTATTTGCATTTACGAACTATCTTCCTATCCCTTTTTCCCATTCAGCAAATATTAGTTTGTCCTCCTTTAATTGTTTGCCCAAATCTTCCACCCATCTTTTTTCTTCCCCCATTTTCTGGGATTCTCAAGAAAGAGTAACCCATTATCACTCTGAGTTTCATCATGTCCTAAGACATGATGGGAATCTCATTCCCACCTCTCATAGCAGAACCAAACCTTTAGTGTTAGTGGTAGGAGGATGGGGAGAGGAAAAGGGAGCTGGCAAAGAAATGGATAGGGAATATTTTAGTTCTTTAAATATATAGGCAGATGCTTCTCTTGGAATCTAGATCATCTGGCTGAAGCTTTTGCAAGTAGGCTTTGAGAGATGAAGGAGATTGGTGGAGGTGAGTAAATAATCAGAGGCAAGAGTTCAGTGAGGGCCAAGGGGGACCCCCAGAAAAAGGTATAGAGCGAACTCATCTCTTTTACAAGGGGTGGCCATGACTCACCGTTGCAAAGTACTCAGTGTATATTTAATGTTAATTGTTGAATTTTAGTTATGAGAGGGAAGAACAATTTTATTTCTGTCCTTATTTCACTTGCTGAAAAGCTGTGGGACAAAATGTATGGAATAGACAAGGCCACTTTCTTTGTGATTTCTGCTTTTCATTCATATTATTTTATTTACCCATGATTTCCAAGAGATTTGGCTTTCTGCTCTCCTGCTTTTTTCTTTCATCCACCCCTTTCCTTTTTTTGGAAGGGGGTTATATGTGAGAGTTTATTGAAGAAGTCCAGTGAGGCTGAAGTAAAGGGGCAAGATAGGGCAGTTAACTAAATAGCACTTTATTTCTTTGAAGCCTTTGTAAGAAAGAAATGGGGGTGCGAGTGGCTTGAATCTCCCATGACGTTGGAGGGCACTTAGTGGGGTTGAAGTATGACATAATATTTCCCATTGGGGAAAGGAGAATTTCTCTTAGAGGGTGGCAAAATGCCTTTGCCCAGTGTCTCTATTTTAGGCATCTTTTCCTTCCTTATTCCTTCCAGTCAGGGTGTGTCCTACACATAACTTCCCATTAGTTCTCCTCAATATTCCCCCTTTGTAAATGATCACTCCTCTTTTCTAAACCCTTTTCCTGTTCAGATCCATACAGGATTTGCAAGGGTAGACTGAATCATACATGCAAATGCCCCTTGTTCATCTGTGTCTTCTGCAAACTAGTCTCATGAAGAATTCTGGTGTGCAGCCAGGGTAGTGAAGTTTGGTTCTGGGACTGGAGATTGGCCATTTGGCCTCCTGAGATTCCAGCTCCCTTCCACCAAGCCCGGTCTTGCTACATGGCACAGGGCAAACCTGACTCCCTTTGGGCCTCAGTTTCCCCTCCCCTTCATGAAACGAAAAGAATACTACTTTTTCTTGTTGGTCTAGCGTTGCTGGACACAAAGTGTAGTCATTATTGTTGTACTGGGTGATGTGTGCAAAACTGCAGAAGCTCACTGCCTGTAAGAGGAAATAAGAGAGAAAGTGGAGGAGAGGGACAAAAGGAGTAATTATTTGGTATAGATCCATCCATCCCAACCTTTCTCTCCTCAGTCCCTGCTCCTCATGTTTCTGGTTTGGTGAGTCCATTGTGCCACCACCCATAATGCTTTGCATTGCTGCATCCTGGGAAGGGGGTATATGGTCTCACAAGTTGTTGTCATTGTTTTTTTGCATGCTTTCTTAATAAAAAAAAAAAAAAGAATGTTTACAGTTTTATCTTACTGGTAGTGGTCTCAAATTTCTTTTGGCCAGGGAAGGAAAAGAGAAATGTGAAATCATTTAGTTTTAGTTGGTCTTTATTCCTCTTCCACCTTTCACCACCAGGTTGAATTAGTTGACCCTGACATTTTTTGTGACATTGGTGGGAAAGAAGAATCAAAGGCACGTCCTTAACATTCCTCTTTTCAAATGCTATCAAGTATGATGGAATATTGCGGGAGAGTCAGTCACCCTTTGTAGGTTAGTGTATGGAGTAGGCCCACCTTGCTTGCATTTTAGGATAGTTTAAAGATTTAAGATATGGTACTTTGGGGCCGGGCACGGTGGCTCACGCCTATAATTCCAGCACTTTGGGAGGCCGAGGCAGGGGCATCACCTGAGGTCAGGAGTTCGAGGTCAGCCTGACCAACATGGTAAAACCCCGTCTCTAAAAACACAAAATTAGCTGGGTGTGGTGGCACATGCCTGTAATCTCAGCTACTCGGGAGGCTGAGGCAGGAGAATCGCTTGAACCTGGAAGGCGGAGGTTGCAGTAAGCCAAGACCGTGCCATTGCACTCCAGCCTGGGCAACAAGAACGAAACTCTCTCTCAAAAAAAAAAAAAGCCGGGCGCGGTGGCTCAAGCCTGTTCAAAAAAAAGCCGGGCGCGGTGTGGCTCAAGCCTGTAATCCCAGCACTTTGGGGAGGCCGAGACGGGCGGATCACGAGGTCAGGAGATCGAGACCATCCTGGCTAATACGGTGAAACCCCGTCTCTACTAAAAATACAAAAAAAAAAAAAAAAAAAAAAGCTAGCCGGGCGAGGTGGCGGGTGCCTGTAGTCCCAGCTACTCAGGAGGCTGAGGCAGGAGAATGGCAGAAACCTCGAGGCAGAGCTTGCAGAGCTGAGATCTGGCCACTGCACTCCAGCCTGGGTGACAGAGTGAGACTCTGTCTCAAAAAAAAAAAAAGACATTGGCTGGCACAGTGGCTCACGCCTGTAATCCCAACACTTTGGGAGGTTGAGGCGGGTGGATCACGAGGTCAGGAGTTCGAGACCAGCCTGGCCAACGTGGTGAAACCTCATCTCTACTATAAAGACGCCTAATTTTTTTTTTTTTTTGTAAAAACTAAAAATTTTAGTTTTACAATCAGGCACCTGTAATCCCAGCTACTCGGGAGGCTGAGGGAGGAGAATCGCTTGAACCCGAGAGCTGGAGGTTGCAGTGAGCTGAGATCGTGCCACTGCACTCTAGCCTGGGTTACAGAGTGAGACTCCGTCTCAAAAAAAAAGAAAAGATATTATACTTCGGACAGGAGTTGTGTTCCCATCTGGGACAGGTACTCACCAGGTTTTCATCAGAAATGAGGGAATTCTAATTGTAGGAATTTCTTCAGAATACATTTCCAGAGTAAATGGAAAAGGAAAGGAGTCCAGAAATACTGATTACTCATTGTACATTAAATCTTTATGACTGTGTCAAGATTATTTACCTTGATAATCCTATATAGTAACCCCAGGAGTTTAGGTCTTATTCCCAGGGTCTTATGGAATGTAGTGGGGTTTCTGGAAGCCTGGCTAATTGCTATTATAACAAGTCTATAGTCACTCACTAGGAGATTTATTTGCTGCATATTTAGAGACTGTGATATATTCTGAATGTGAAGCACAAGGATTCATGAATCTCTGAGCCTTGCAAGGAACCATGAGAAAAGCACTTATTCATATAAAATACACAAGCAAATTAATATATAAGCTGGAAAGGTAGCACCGCAAATTTTATGTCAGACATTCTTCAACTGAGAGAATTCCTAGTGATTTGTAATATTTCTGCATATACTTTATAAAATTTTTCATTTTTATAAAAAAAATTTAATCTTCACCTCAACCATTGAACAAATAATGTCTCGCAAGTCTAAAACATATCTCATTTTCTATTTTGAGAATACATCATTGTATTCGGTTTAGATGAAGCAATGTTGTGATACAAGCAAGCCTGAAATTTCAGACGTTTAACACAAACATTTACATACACAGAAAAATGAGAAGGTGGTAGGGAGTTAGATAATTTTGTTTTAAATGGAAGAGGGACAGAAGGAAAGCTATACAAATGGTTGGAGTGTATAGACAAAGTAGAAGAAAAATATGCGGTCATGAATGAATTAAAATATGGTTATTAATGAATATTGGGATGCTGGATTAACAAATTAAAAATATGGGGTGCTTGGATAAACATTTTCGTCTTTCACAACAAGAAGTCATTTTATCATGTCTCCAGAAAAGAGCAACATAAGCACATGATTTGGAAACAACATGATAATTATCAAAGGAAACATCTCAAATTGTGTAAGTGTTATCTCTGGGAAATGAGAGTGGGAGGAGGGAACTTTTGGGTACGGTAAAGTAGGAGACCTCATATTTCATTATATACCTTATTAAATTCATTTAAAACTATGTGCATGTATTACTTTGGCAAAGAAAAAATTTTTAAAAACCCAGAAGACGTATTTAGTAATTTTGGCATGAAAGTTGCCTGTCGTTATGTTTTAAAATGTGATGGCAAGCCTGGTAGGGTACTCAGTTGCAGAGAGAAGAAGAATTGCTGCTCCATCCTCCACCCTCTTTCTCCTTCCACTTGAAATGGGTTTCTTAGAAAGTATTATTTTGGAGCAAGAGGAAAGGAGTAACTAGAATCTTGTGAAATTAGAGGTTGCTTGAGGCACAAAGTCTGATGTGGAAGATTTGGAGGCAGGGGAGTAATAAGGAAATTAAGGAGCTTAAGAAGAGGAGTGGAAGATAAGTACCCAACCGGTAGGCAGATAGAATAAACAGAACTCCCCAAACCACAGCTTTTGTAACATTTCATGAGTCAGTTTTTAGATGTATTAGTAGTCTGTTTTCACGCAATAGATGCTTATTTAGTTGTAATAGTGGAAACTATATGTAATAGTGGAAATTTCTATGTCCTGTACTTAGGGGTGTTCCCAGTGACAGGCATCATTGCATAATTCTGTGCTCCAGACTCAGTCTCATGGCTTCTTGTCGTCAGAGGCATTTTCTTTCTGCCCCTTCTTTTCATTTAAAACCATCAACACCATACGACAACAAAGCAGTAGAATATATGATCATCTTTCACTCACGTAGGAGAAGAAGAAGTGGTTTTAAATGGAATCTGGAAGACTTAGACAAATGCTAAGGAAAAATTTAATGAGGGAAACATCAACAAACATTTAACATCAAACATTTAAAAACAGAGTAAATTCTCTTATGTCACCCAGCTTGCTTTAGGATAGAAACAGAACTAATTTTTACAATGATTTTTACATTTTGCATTAATCAGAAACGAGAGAGTTTGTTCAATGCACTTGCTGGGTCCTAACCCCTAGAGATTCCAATTCAGCAAGCCTGGGATGGGGCTTGAGAATCTGCATTTCTAACAAGTTTCTAGGTGATGCTGATGCCAGTAGTCTGTGTACACTTTGAGAACCGTTGGATTGATTCTTTGACAGTTTTTGAGGTCCCCTGCTCACCATATCACTTCATCCTTTTAGAAACGTTCACTGTGTGATTACCTAAGAGCCCCTGCTTGTCGGCTACCCCACATTTTCACACAGTTGTACTAATACTGTTTCTCTCTGAAAAGACATTGTTTGAGGAACAGTGGGTAGAATGTGTGAGCTCCTCACTGAAGGCTGCCTCCAGAATGCTCTGAATGGACTGCCTTGCTTTCTTCCTAAAATCTTTCCCCAGGAGGGCATAAAGGAAGGGATTAAAGCAACTATTGGCAGATGCTAGAGCAGTGAATACATGATCCCAGGACATCAGAGTTTTCCCCAAGGGAGTTTCTGGGTCAGTAAACAATGACAGGACTCCAGAAATGTGGTATGGAGCCCAGCACACAAGAAAGACGGTCACTACCACCACTGCCACTCGAAAGGTTTTGCCCTGAGACTTGGCAAAGCGGCCCCTTTGCATTCGGAGGACAATGAAGCTGTAACAGGCTATCATGATAACAGAGGGCAGCAGGAAACCCATCACTAGCCTCGTGATCGTTATTGCCACGAGGGGTGTTGACACTTGATTGTCATATGTGAATTGGCCTAAACTGTAATAATCCTGGAAATCTTGTAGCTCATACTCGTATAAGGAATTGCTAGCAGCACTAGGGAACAGCTTTAAATGAGTAGAGAGAAAAGCATCAGAGTTATCCAGTGGGCTAGTTTTGTGACCTTCAATAGGAAACCCACTGGGGATTTCAGGTGAGGCCACACCGGCAGGTTTAAATACATTAGAATACGGACTGTGACTAGCAGAGTCCTTAGGGAGTGAATCCGTAGAAGGTCTTTGAAACGTTTGAGGTTGGAAGACAGTGGTGACTGTCCAAGGGTGATCATTTGCTTGGAAAGAGGAAGGATCTAACCTATCATTCATTTCTCCAGGCAGCTGAACAATGTTTTCAAGAGACCTGTTTTCTAGTGGATTTCCATAAAAGTCTAGATAATCTAATGAGCCGGAGAGATCAAATTTGTAGCCACATTTACTATGGTTGTCTGTAGTGAAGATTTCCCGGTACACAAACACGGGGATGCACATCACAAAAGCCACCACCCAGATACATCCACAGATAGTGCAGGCCGTCCCTACATTGCGATGATTCTGACACCAGATTGGCTTGAATACCACAAGACAGCGGTCCAGGGTAATGGCAGTAAGTAGGAAGACACTGGCAAACATGTTGAGGACAATGATGGAGGGGATGAGCTTGCATAGGAACCTGCCGTAGGGCCACTGTCCCTGGAGAGCCAAGTGAGCCAGCGAGAAGGGCAAGGAGAGGCAGCAGAGAAGGTCCGCCAAGGTGAGGTGGAGGAACCAGACTGTGTTCACCGTACGCTGCATCTTCAGGCCGGCCACCCACAGCACCAGCCCATTGCCTGGCAATCCCAGTAAAAAAGTAAGGCTGAGAATGACCATGGAGAGAATTACTGGGGACCCATTCCACGGCTGTGAGAGTAGGTCAGTTGAATTGGTCTCAGCAGACAAAGGCGCCATTGCTAAACTTCTGCAAAAAGATGAAAAAAATGTTAAAATGAATGGTATGTTTTTGAAAATGCATACATATTCTTAGGATTTTAATCTTCCCACATAAAGATGTGGGATCATGAAATCAGAAGGTCCTCACGCTGTTTTAGTTTGCCTTCCTTCACCTCACACTGGACCACACAAAAGCATTCTCTGATAGACAATTTCCTTCCTTCCTTCCTTCCTTCCTTCCTTCCTTCCTTCCTTCCTTCCTTCCTTCCTTCCTTCCTTCCTTCCTTCCTTTCTTTCTTCCTTCCTTTCTTTCTTTCTTATTTTTCAGACAGAGTCTTCCTCTGTTGCCTAGGCTGGAGTGCAATGGATCCATCTCAGCTCACTGTAAGCTCCGCCTCCCAGGTTCAAGCGATTCTCCTGCCTCAGTCTCCCGAGTAGCTGGGATTACAGGCTTGCACCACCACGCTCAGCTAATTTTTTTTCTATTTTTAGTAAAGACATGGTTTCACCATGTTGGCCAGGCTGGTCTCGAACTCCCGACCTCGTGATCCGTCCTCCTCGGTCTCCCAAAGTGCTGGGATTACAGACATGAGCCACCACGCCCAGCCGGCCACCAACTTCTTAATCCTTTGTAATGTATCTTCTGCTTCCATAATTCTGCTAAAATTACTTCTAAAAACCACATCCGAAAGTTTGTTTCTCAGCCACTTTCCACAATATGTGTCATTATATACAGTGACTTCTTAACACTCTCTTCTCTTGGCCTCTGTGATATTACATTACCCTAATTCTGAACATGCTCGTAAATGTACCGTTTTATAGCTTTCCTGAACAATTCACTATTCCAACTTAATGTCATTTTTTTTTTTTTTTTTTGAGACGGAGCCTCGCTCTGTCGCCCAGGCTGGAGTGCAGTGGCCGGATCTCAGCTCACTGCAAGCTCCGCCTCCCGGGTTTATGCCATTCTCCAGCCTCAGCCTCCCGAGTAGCTGGGACTACAGGCGCCCGCCACCTCGCCCGGCTAGTGTTTTGTATTTTTTAGTAGAGACGGGGTTTCACCGTGTTAGTCAGGATGGTCTCGATCTCCTGACCTCGTGATCCACCCGTCTCGGCTTCCCAAAGTGCTGGGATTACAGGCTTGAGCCACCGCGCCCGGCCTCTTAATGCCATTTTCTATTCCATGGCTAATGCTGTTTACTTCTATCTAGAATTATGCCATTCACCAAGTCTTCAGCTTCTTAATTTGTGTGTGTGTGTGTGTGTGTGTGCGCGTGCATGTTTGAACCTTTTTTCATATTCTATATGCGATGACACATTTTATCTTGTATAATAATTATAATGACTGTCTAATCTATTATTCTGGATTTAAACTTTATGATGGTAAAAAGGAGTCGTATTCATAAATTCTTGTTTCACATAATTTAACACAATGCCTTATGAGACACCAAGGTTAAAGATTATGTGGACAGGCTGGGTACAGTGACTCACGCCTGTAGTCCCAGCACTTTGGGGGGCCGTGGGGAGCAGATCGCTTGGGGCCAGGAGTTTGCGACCAGCCTGGCCAACGTGGCAAAATCCCATCTCTACCAAAGATACAAAAATTAACTGGGTGTGGTAGCTCACATTTGTAATCCCAGCTACTTGGGAGGCTGAGGCACGAGAATCTCTTGAACTGGAGAGGCGGAGGTTGCAGTGAACAGAGATTGCACCATTGCACTCCAGTCTGCATGACAAAGCGACTCTGTCTCAAAAAAAAAAGAAAAAGAAAAAAGAAATTACTTGAATAGATGGATGCCCATTTTAGGGGTTGACTTTTTTTTTTCTTTTACAATTACATCTAAAATTCTAATTTGTATCCATTTAATCCTTACCCAGGCCTCTTCCTTAATTCCCGTGCTGTCCCTTTTAACTTTCTTTTTGTTAAATTCCTGATTTTTACTGGATAAAATAACATTTTACATTTATTTTTATAGAGGTTCAAAATATTTTTGTGACTTGAAAGTACTTCTGCTGAGTCAACCAAATATTGTTAGAGGGCCTCATATGATTAGCAGAAGTTAAAATAGCAAGTCAACAAAACAATAAAAAAGAAGACATGGGCTGGGCACAGTGGCTCACGCCTGTAATCCCAGCACTTTGGGAGGCCGAGGCGGGCAGATCACCTGAGGTCAGGAGTTTGAGACCAGCCTGTCCAACGTGGAGAAACCCTGTCTCTACTAAAAATACAAAATTAGCCAGCACGGGGGCCCATGCCTGTAATCCCAGCTACTCAGGAGGCTGAGGCAGGAGAATCGCTTGAACCGGGGAGGCAGAGGTTGTGGTGAACTGAGATCATGCCATTGCACTCCAGCCTGGGCAACAAAAGCGAAACTCCGTCCCCCTCCCGCCCCCCCCTCCGACCAAAAAAAGAAGAAATTATTCTCATTCCCCTTTCCATAGCCTTGTCTACTCAGATATTTAAATCCTATCAGGGTACCCCCCTAAAATATTGAGAGAAGGATAGAGTCATAGGATGCTTGGACCGAAAGAAAACTTGGTAATCATCTTTTCTCTCCTCATTTTGTTGTTGTTTGTTTGTAGAGATAGGGTCTTGCTATGTTGCCCAGGCTGCTCTCAAACACCTGGACTCAAGCAATCCTCCCACTTTGGCCTCACAGTGTGCTGGGGTTACAGACGTGAGCCACTGTGCCCAGCCTATGTTTTCTCTGCTTTTATTTCTCAAGACAGTGAAACTCAGCAAATTAGATTACTATTATATAATCATTACTAGGGAGATTCTTGGATTTCAGGTCCAATGACTGTTAGGCCAATGCTGTTTTTAATACCACAAAAAATCACATTAAAAAAAAAAGATATATGGTATTGCTAATAAAGGGGAAGCTGCCGAGAAATGCATGAATTGAAGTAGCAGGGACTGCAAACAGCAAACTTTCAATAAAAATAAATAGAGTTATCTGTCATGAGCTATATGTTAAATATTGCATATTATCTGTTTTGAAATGAAAGTATGAGTCAAGGATTAAAAGTCCTTCAGAACAATGCCGGGTGCGGTGGCTCACGCCTGTAATCCCAGCACTTTGGGAGGCTGAGGCGGGCAGATCACCTGAGGTCAGGAGTTCAAGACCAACCTGGCCAACACGGTGGAACCCCGTCTCTACTAAAAATATATAAAAAAAAATAAACTGGGTGTGGTAGCACGTGCCTATAATCCCAGTTACTCAGGAGGCTGAGACAGGAGAATCGCTTGAACCTGGGAGGCAGAGGTTGCAGTGAGCTGAGATTGTGCTACTGTACTCCAGCCTGGGCAACAGAGTAAGACTGTCTCAAAAAAAAAAAAAAAAAGTCCTGCAGAACAAGATTATTTTTTACATTTCTTCAAGTTAATTTGGCTAAAAAGTACCATACCTTTATGTTTAAGATTAGTAGAGGATTTAAAAAGTTATTACTAAGTTGACCAGCAGTAATTTTTTTTTTTTTTTTTTTTAAGATCAGGTTTCTTTTTATGTTTGGAGCGCTCTCCAAAGCACAGTTCAAACAATACTCTCACTTTGCATTTCTGATGTGTTTCAGATTGGCGATGACCACTCTTCAACCTATTTTCCTATGCTTTCTCTTCTCTGAACAAGCAGGCCTAACGAGATCGGATATATTATCAATATTGGAAATTAAATTTGGATCCAGCTGTTGTTATGCAATAAACTATTTATACCCCACATAAGAGATAAACTAAAAAAAAAATCTAATGATGTTTTGCTAATAAAGGAAGATTTGTAAATGTTTGATTGAAGTAGCAGACTACAACAGCAACTTTTTGCTCTGGAAGATAAATAAAATGAATTATCATGTGATATATCTTAATAATGTGTGTCAGAAGAGCTTTGAAATAAAGACAACAGTCAAGATTCAGATCTTTCGAACAATGTGCCGGATCTGGTAGCTCCTTTGTTTCTGCAAACGCGCCTGGAATGGGGCGAACGGACCCTCGCCACGAGATAGTTCAAAGTCAGAACAATAACCACGGGTGAACCATCTTATCTTTAAATATAGAAAATAGCCTGGGTGTGTTGCATTCCATGACTCCGTTGCTGGAAGCCAGAACAGAAGAATGAAAAGCGAATACCAGGCAAAGTTGTGAAGCCAGCGGGGATGCTCATAACCATCAAACCGCCAACATCAAATGAACCTATCCGCAAGAAAAGAAGTGCGAACAGGATGTTGCTGTATTTCTTCAAATTCATTCTTGGCCTGCGAAAAATACCGCTTTGGCTGAATATAAATGAAGTTTCAGAAAAAAATTCGTCTGATTTGACTAACGATGTTATTTTTGCGAACAGATCGCAACTCATGCAAACCACGGACCTGAGTTGCAATGTGGATCAACTCACTGCGAGCTCTGCTCTAAGGATTTTGCATATTCTACTTTCAAGCCTCAGGGTGTCTGGGGACTAGAAGCCAGCATGTCGCTAAGGCGTTTTCATGTTAGACAGACAGTTCTGCCCAAACAGGATAGTCTGCAGGTCACTGAGCCTGTGCAATCTGCCATCCCAGGCCTCAAGTGCCAGATGTTGAAGACCATAGCCATGCAGCCAGCAGGCTCATTAGAAGACAGTCAATATCTGCATTCTGCAGGATGGGCGGAGGAAGGGGAGGCGGTTGGGACCAGAGATGAGCAGGATGGAAGGCAGAGTCAGCCTTAATAGATAATAATTAAGAGGCCGGAGGAAGCAAATCAAATGGTTTGAAACTAATTCTAAACAGGACGACTGCAGAATCAAGTTAGGGTGAATATATTAATTAAAGGAAAAATTGCATAAAAATTCTCATGATTCCACTCTATAAAATATTTAAATACAAGTGCAGTAGATATTGAATATATTAAGATGATTTTGAGTCAAGACCAAGACCAAGTGGAATGGAAGCTGAAGAATGTGGTACAAATCATTTTCTGAATGAGCACAAACCTGCATTTCTGAGTGTACAGTGGATGTGCTGGGCGGTGGGAAGCTGAAGCTGGCACCTGGATGCAGAGTCTGTCTGATTGCCGTAATACCGGTAAATTCATGCAGTGCTTGGCGGTGTACTGAGCGCTCTCTTTGCTGCGCCATTTCTCTCACGCTGCCAAGCAATGATAAGCATCTGTGCTCTGAACCATTCTCGACCTGGAGGTTTCAGTGGTCAGAAATTTCCATAATGACAGAAGAAGGCAGGGCATGGAAAAACATTTGAAAATAGAGACCTCTGCATCTCTGAACATTTCTGCTTTAAAGCCAAGTTGAAATTGCTTCTTAGCCTGGGTTCCATGTGGTTGTTGGGGAAGCTGGAAGGCGGGCTCTGAGGATTGGCTGAGGTTGGGGTGGGGAGTGGTTGGGAGGAATGACCTGGAATGTTTTTTTTTTTTTTGAGACGGAGTCTTGCTCTGTAGCCCGGACTGGAGTGCAGTGGCCGGATCTCAGCTCACTGCAAGCTCCGCCTCCCGGGTTTACGCCATTCTCCTGCCTCAGCCTCCGGAGTAGCTGGGACTACAGGCGCCCGCCACCTCGCCCGGCTAGTTTTTTGTATTTTTAGTAGAGACGGGGTTTCACCGTGTTAGCCAGGATGGTCTCGATCTCCTGACCTCGTGATCTGCCCGTCTCGGCCTCCCAAAGTGCTGGGATTACAGGCTTGAGCCACCGCGCCCGGCCGACCAGCAGTAATTTAAAGGTAATTAATATCCTGAAACTAAAATTCCACTATGATAGAGAAAGAAAAGTGGACCCCAGAATCAAATTGTAGTAATAGGATAACAGAGTCAGTAGCAATAAGGACAAAATAATTAAAAAAAGAGAAAGAGGAAATGGAAAGGAAAGAAAGTATAATCAATGATTTGAAAAACAAATTAATGGGGACAGCTGGAATCAAAGTTCAGGGTGAAATACATAGCCAATTCAAAGAGAGGAAAGAAATTACATAAAAATTCACTATTAATTCCACTATGAAAATATTAAAAGCAAAGACAAATGGAATGTGGAATATTTAGAAAAGGGAAGTTGGACATAGAGATAAGACAAAAGAATTGAAAGTCGGAGAAGAAATAGGGGAAATAGAAGATAATGACCCTCAAAATCATTGCCTATAATGAGCAAAACAAGCTAAGCACAAGTCATCAGGTGGATCTTACCAAAAAACTGAGACAGTAGCTGAAGGCTTCAGCACCTGGATGTCCCCACGAGTCTGTCTGGTCCCCACACTTAACCACAGTGAAGTCATGAAGTATGGCAAGAAAATTTGCTGAGCTTTCTCTTCTTCTTTCCTCTCTCTGTTTCTGGCAATAAATTAAGCCTCATGCTCTAGACCACTATCTGACCTCACAGGAAGGGTTTCAAAGTGAGTCATTTCTAAATGACTTAGAAAGGCGAAGCAGGAAAACAGAAGTAGGAGGCTATAATCCTGAGACATTTCTGCAGCACACAGAGAACGGTTAGAGAGAGGGTGCTTCTGTACATAGGGTTCAACTTCATAGGTTTTGTTTAGAAATGCAAAAAAAAATGACTCTATGAGATGTGAGGGTTGGGGTGGGGAGTGGTTGGGGAGGAATGACCTGAATAAACTCATTTAATTAATCTCAAATAACATATCCTAAATGCTTGATATATGTGAAAAATGGTGCCATGCCAAAATCAGGATGAATTAAGCTCTGTTCTAATCTCCAGAGATCCACAATCAAGTGGGAATTTGTACCCATACATATACACACAAAACTGTAATATAACCTACACTATAATAATAGAAGTAACAATAGAAGTAAAATAATAGAACACTCTAGGCAAGGGTATATATAACCCAGGGCAATCTAGGAGAGTCTTAAGATAGAAATAAGATGTGGGCAAGTCCTTAAGTACTTGTAGGAATTCTAGAGACAGAAAAAGGTGTAAAGCTGCTTAGGCCATAAGTGGAGCCTAGTCAAGGTCAGATAGGTGGGAGAGGGCAGGGAAGTGGCAGAGGGAAAGTAGGTGGGGAGGTAGGTGGGACAGCTTAGTGGTCACTGGAGAACAGGCTGGAGTCGAGGTGGTGTTTCATCAGGAAGGAGTACAGAAGACTGAAGATATTCCTGCTTAATGAATACTATGCTGTAAATAATTCTTATATTATTATTTTAGATATATGCATATAAAATAAAGTTTATTTGGGTCAAATGTATTTGAACACTGTTGTCTGTGATATAGGCTTCAGTCTATATTAATCAACTTGTCCAGACCATAATATCTGCTCCTCTTCTTGTTTGCAGTCAAGTCACCACGGAATATTTTTGAGGCAGAAAGACCAAAAGAAAAATGCCAAGAGTTGAGTAGTATTTATTAGTTTATTTCCATTGTCATCATCTAATTACAAAAATAGAACATACTTTGTTCTAGAAGAGATAAATTGAAATAATACAGAAGTGTAACGGGTAAAAAAATGAAATATTTTCTTTTCAATTCCACTGCCCGAAGTAACTATTTTTAATAGGTTAGTGTTCATTCTTCCTGAGTTTTTTTTTTCTGAATATAGCACACATTTTGTTGTTTGAGACAGTGCCTCACTCTGTTGCCCAGGCTGGAATGCAGTGGCATGATCTTGGCTCACTGCAACCTCTGCCTCCTAGGTTCAAGGAATTCTCCCACCTTATCCTCGTTCGTGGGACTACAGGCACGCACCACCACAACCGGCTAATTTTTGTATTTTTTTGGTAGAGACGGGGTTTCGCCATATTGGGCAGGCGGGTCTTGAACTCCTGACCTCAGGTGATCCACCTGCCTCAGCCACCCAAAATGCTGTGATTACCGGCATGAGCTACTGCGCTCGGCCTAACACATATTTTTTTAAAAGGTAGTTTTGAACACAAATGGGATGGTAATTTATGTGTGATTTTATGTCTTGCTTTTTTACTTAACAATATATCAAAACACATTTCTATGTTAGTACATATAATTCTATTGATTGTTTTGGATTTTCTTTCCTCCAATATTTGAAAATATTGAATAATATAGGTATTCAGAAAGCGTATAAAAGATAGGATTACCATATATGTACATATATATCCAATTAAAATATACTTTATAAAAGCAGTTAATTCCCCGTGGTAAAAATTAAATATGAGAAGATTAAAGTAAAAACTAAAATTTCCTAAACACCTAGCTATCCTTTTTCCACTTTCCAGATGTAATCTCTCTCATAAATACTCACATTCTACTACGCGTATTATTTTGTTCTGTTTTTTCCACTTATCTTTTTATATCAGGACATCTTGCCCAAATCATTTTTTTTTTTTCCCCTGAGACAGAGTTTCGCTCTTCTCGCCCAAGCTGGAGTGCGAGGGTGCGATCTCGGCTCACTGCAACTTCTGCCTGCTGGGTTCAATCGATCCTTCTGCCTCAGTCTCCCAAGTAGCTGGGATTACAGGTGCCTGCAACCACGCCTGGCTCATTTTTTGTATTTTTAGTAGAGACAGGGTTTCACCATGTTGACCAAGCTGGTCTCCTGACCTCGTGATCCACCCGCCTTGGCCTCCCAAAGTGCTGGGATTACAGGCGTGAGCTACGCGGTTGGCCCTGAATTATACTTTTTAAATTGCTCCATATTATTTCATTTAATCAATTATTTTTCATTGAATATTGTTTTTATCCAATTTTAAATGATTAAAACAAAACTCAATGAGCACTGTTGTATTTATACGTATTTCTGTAGAAAAGAGTTTTAGAATTGGAATTGCTAAATCTAAGAGCATACACATTTAAAATTTTGAAAGATACAGAATTTTCCACTAAAGAGACTTCACCAATCGTCACACTAAGTTCAGTACCATAAACATATAGTCTGCTCTTGCTACTGACGCAGTGTGTTGCGCTGGGGAAGATGGAGGAGGACTGAGAGATGTATATAACTGTAATACAGTAGGGGCTGCTAGGAGGGCATACGAAATACACCCTGGGAATACGAAACCGTAAGAGACTAATTCTCACGGAAGCAAACCCACGATGATGCACTGAAGAGGTAGCACTGGGGCCATAAGGATGGCTAGAAATTTGTCAGGCAATAGTACTGTAAACTAATACCCTGTCTGTCTCTCTCCCCTACCGTGAATTTCTTGTCTGTCTCCAGTGACTGCTACCTTGCCTGGTATAACAGGTCTGTGGCACCAATAAGTGAATGAATGTTTGTTTGAAAAGGATGTTGACATCTGAATATAATTCAAAGAATTAACTTGAGTCCTTAAAGTTGTTTCTGGCATGAATTCAATTTTACTAATTTCTCTCTCTCTAAAGATTACACAGCAATGTGGCTGGGCGTGGTGGCTCACACCTGTAATCCCAGCACTTTGGGAGGCCGAGGCGGGCGGATCACCTGAGGTTAGGGGCTCGAGACCAGCCTGGCCAACATGATGAAACCCCGTCTCTACTAAAAATACAAAAATTTAGCTGGACATGGTGGTGGGCACCTGCAATCCCAGTTACTCGGGAGGTTGAGGTAGGAGAATCGCTTGAATCTGGGAGGTGGAGGTTGCAGTGAGCCAAGGTTGCACCACTGCATTAGCAGCCTGGGCAACAAGGGTGAAACTATGTCTCAAAAAAAAAAAAAAAAAAAGATTATACAGCAATTTAAACTGGTTCAAGAGCTCACAGCTGTGTTCTTTGGATTTTCAGGAAGGAAATTACTAAAAACATGTTGTGAATATTGCTCCTGTTTCTGAATGACTTCTCTCTCTTCTTATAAAGTACTGGTTGTTTTGTGGTGTATTGTGGAAAGCTCTGAGGAATTTATGTGATTCACTTCTGTTTTGTTCTGTTCTGAATATCTAAATATAAATTTCTAAAAGCAGAGATCAGATGCTTTGGAGAAAAGAAAATTTGAATATATATTGCAAAGGCAGCCATATTAAAACCTTTTACCAGTCACTGACTAATTCTACACTGTCATTGATGGAGATCTGTATTAAAGCTTGTTTGGCCAAAATAAAAAGTTTAGAATCACAGAATCTCTAGCCTGTTTTCTCTGAGAAAGTTAAATACACGATAAAGTTACTGTCCTTAAAGACTTCAATAAAAATGATTAAATCCATTATTAGATAATTTGTAGTAACCTATGCTCTAGATTACATGTAACTAAGTGCCAAAAACTGTGGATGACCAGACAAATGCAATGGCTGGTCAGCAAAGGGAAAGATGGATTGATGGTGGCTGGAATTAGCTGGAAAATTTTTATGGAAGAAAAGTTTCATGAGGTGGATAGAGCACTAGACCAGGAATGTGGAGACGGGCATTTGACTTTCACTTTTGTGATAACTACTCGACCTTGGGCTAGATACCTGCCCTAGAAATTTGTCGTTGTTGTTTTCTTAGGTGGAAAATTAAAGGTTGGATTAAATGATCTTTCAGGTTTCTTTTACATCTAACAATCTATAATTCTCTCATTTGAGCAGGGAGATTGAAGCTGAGAGGGCATTTTGAGGGAAAAGCATGAGCACATATTAAGGGGGAGGTGAGCCCAACACAAATAAATAGCACAGGTACATTGCTTTGGTGGGAGTAAAAAGAGTATTCTGAGGACTAAGGGAGGGCAGGTAGAAAGCCTGGGTTTAAGTCTCAACTCTGCCACTTACTAATTGTGTTGCTGAAAAGAAGTTTCTCAAACTCTATATTCCCGTTTTCTTATCTGCAAAACAGGGGCTGTGTCAGATGTCATCTATCAATACTCAAGCCGTCCCTACCCTTTTTCCTTATCATCTCTCTATTTGAAACCTATGGACTATGTCTCCTCGACCTTCTCTCCAGCTGGGTTCTGAATAGGATCTTTCAGAAGGACATGTTGATGTGTCAATGGAAAGTAAGGAGAAAGGGGAACTATTGCCTTTAATTTCATAACTTGGTTGTGCACAGAGATTGCGAATCTATTTTAAAAGTAAAAGAAAGTGGTCATTCATGCCTGTAACCCCAGCACTTTGGGAGACCAAGGCAGGCAGATTGCCTGAGCCCAGGAGTTCAAGACAAGCCTGGGTAATATGGCAAAAACCCCCTCTACTAAAAATACAAAAATCAGCTGGGCATGGTGGTGCACACCTGTACTCCCAGCTACTTGAGAGGCTGAGGCGGGAGGATGGCTTGAGCCTGGGAGGTTGAGGCTGCAGGGAGCTACAATAGTGCCACTGCACTCCAACTCAGGCAACGGAGAACCTGTCTCAAAAACCAAATAAAAATAAAAATAAATACACAAGTAAAAGAACAAACACTATAAAATAGAATAAACATTAAAATTGTTAAAACAAAAGTAACATGGGAGAAAGGGATATCATTTAGCTCCTGATTTCTGCAATGGAGGGGGCAGGTGTGGCAGTAGT